CCTTACGCCCTCGTCTGAACGGGGCATTAGGGTACAGGGGACGCCGTAGATGCGTTCGACAAATTGCTTAGTCCTTATTTTGTGTCTACTGTTGCAAATTAGTAATTTGTTGCAACATTTATCTTTTTTTTTTTTTTTTTTTATTTGGTGATTTCTTGTTATTATTGTTATTCTACAAAAAGGTAAATGCAGTTACATATTATGTTAAACTTAGGTTAGCTTTTTTATTCAGAAAACCGATGATTTGAGAATAAATACTCGAAAAATGTTTTTTACGTGAACCATTTGTTTATTAAATTAAAAATTATTATCTTTTGAGAAGAAAGGATTGACATATTTACGGAGTACCAATGAATTTATATACACCTATTTGAGATTTGAAGGGAAGTAAAAATTAAAAGGTATTCTGAAATCAAAAATTGGCCATTTTCCAATTTTTAGCCATACGGAAAACCGAAGGAAAATGTTTCGTTATTTCATTTTTAAATACGTACTTTAAATTTGATTAATTTACTTTAATAAACGAAAGAGTACCACCAACTCCTTGAATTATTTGTTTATTCGGTATTGATCTAATAGTTCATATATTTTCAAGCAATGGTTTAAGATATACTCACTTTTTCATAAGTAAGGTAAAATATTTCAAACAGTGACTTTCCGAGTGTTATTAAGAAGTTATTCTCACTATAGTTCTTATAATAATTATTTTCTTCTTTTATTTTTACTTCCACTTTTTCTGTTTTCATTTTTCCCCATATGTCAGAAGAAAAACAGAAAAAACTGTCTAAGTATCAGAATGTAATGAAGAAAAAGAAGTGAGAGGAAGACCTAATAAACCAAAACTTTAAAATTACTCAGTTTTTTCAAAACCCAAAGAATACCCAAGCTGACACTACTAGCACTAGTTTGTCCATCAACGTCTCAGCTACCACTGAAATTAACAAAAGAACCTAATAATCAGAAAGAGTTAAAAAGTGTTTTTATGCGAGAATTACCTTTAACTTCAATGTAGCCAGTCGAAGAAATACTATTGCTAAACAACTAATCTTGCTAAACAACCAAAGAGTAACCCAATTTCTTAGAACGATTAGGAATGAATAAACCTGTTAATTGAGTTTTACATTTTTATTAAAAAAAAGAGATTAAGCATTGACATAATGTTATTGAAAGAATCATCTGTGCCATTCAGTTTTTAGCCAAACAAAACTTAGCTTTCCATGGTTCCATTAACAAATTATTCGAAAGAAATAATTTTTTAAAGTATATAGAAATGATCCCAAAATTTGAGCCTGTCATATCTGTATATATTAATAAAATTCAAAGTAAAAAAAAAAAAAAAAAAAAATGCTTCATTACCTTGCAGATAAAATTCAAAATAAAATAATTAGCTTATTAGGGGTAATATAAAGCAAATTATTTTAAATAAGGTCAAACAGGCAAAGCATTTTTCTATTTTACTTGATTGTACCCCTGATGCCAGCCATCAAGAGCAGCAATTTGTATGAGGATTCTTAATTTAGAAAATACGGTCATGAGTATTGAAGAAAGGTTTTTAGTATTTTCTATTACAACATGTATGAACAACATTCTTATTAAAGACTTTAAAAGAGGAAAATGGTTTAGGTATTAGTAATTTACACGGCCAAGAATACGACAATGGGTCAAACATGAGAGGTAAACAGTTTTCGAGTAATTATACTCAAATCGTTGCTTATGCGAATTAAAAAGTTAACCTAAGTTTAGCATAATATGTAACTGCACTTAACCTTTTTTTATGTAGAAAAACAATAACAACAAGCAATCACAAAAAAGATAAATATTGCACAAAGTACTAGTTTTCAACCAGAAACCTCAAGCAGTTTAAAGGCTCCCTGAATTTGCCAACTTCATCGATGGGGGTGTTTCACCCCGGACAACCATGAATATCTGACTATATAGCTTCACCAAAACCAACGGACAAGACAGTACCATATGATCCCTGCTGAGCCTGAAACAATAATCGCCAGCGATGACTTCAGTTCCGGTGAAGACTGAATTTCAACACCCGTGGCCGAGACTGTCTAAGTACAGATCCTAATCAATAGTTTCTCAGGTTTTACCTGAATCGACTTCCAGAAGGGCATTCAAATAAGACAAGAATTTTCTTATTAAGACAGGTAACGAGACAAACTGCTTGTTTTAATGATATCCCTGTGCCTTTTTGACTGAGCGCCGTCGTGCACCACACAACCTTGCCCTAATGTCAGCGGGGTCCTGTCTACAGAAGAAAGACAGCCCAGTCATTTGGATGGGCTGTGGACACAATCATTTTGAATAATGAAATTCTGCTAAGATTTTTATTGCAAGTGCACATGATTTTTCATGCAGACCTGAAAAGGTTTCATTTTTATATTTGAAAATAATTAAGTATTGCATATTTCAAACCTGAAAGATTTCATTTAATTGTAATTCTCGAAATGCTTTGTCAAAAAGTTCTTATTTTAATAATGCTTAAATATGTGCAAAATGCATATGCTTTCATAAAAATTAAGACTAGGCTTTCATTCAGTAAGTTTTATAAGCACAAGATATTATATTTAACCCCTTTTATAATTCAGAATTATTTTGGTATCATGACTAACATATTTTTATAAAAACTTATGAATTATCATAGAATGTAATTTATAATCCTTGTAATATAAACCTAAGGATGTTTTATTTGATATTACTAGTTATTATAAAGTGAATAGTTTAAAATTAAAAACTACATTGCATAGTGTTACGTTACAATTCTGGCTTCAGGGATATTTCAAAATGTTGTGAATTCCTTGACCAGGACTGTCAAGAAAATAGGGCTTGAGCCGGAAAATTCAGGCACAATTCTAAGTTAAACAATTAGATTGTGAAAAAAGGATTTTTTTCACTTCTGTACGTGTTGCAGAGAGAGAGAATGGTTTCTATTCCCTTAATGAGTAGCAAGCCACTGGAGCCCATTTAGCCACGTGTGTCTTGTCTGAAAGCCTTGAAAGGAAGGTTAAAAATTATTTCATTGTAGTAGGTAAATGGATGTGGCAGCTGTGAGAAAAAAATGGCTTGACTTGGAATATGGTGCTATTTTTTGTTCAAATGGTCCTTGGACTATAAAGCAAACAGAAAAGTGGACAAACTTATTATTTTCTGGAGACAAGTTTTGTGGGATTGTAAAAATGTTGAGAGACATCTCCTTGCAAATGAGATGAGAAAAAAGTACCTTACTCATCTTTTCTTGAGGCTATGTATAAAAATATGTGCGTTGCCTAATTTAAATTGCTGTGTAGTTAAAATTGACCCAAAAAGAAGTTATGGGGTGACCAAGATGACCAATTAAGTTCAAATGAGGCAAGGTTGCATCATAAGATAGGTTTTGATTAATAATTGGGTCTGGAGTTATACAGGAAAGATTTTATTTAATAGAGACTTTTTTTTGGGAGGGCAGGGGGTAGGCTTCCTTCTTTTGCTTTGAGTTAGATTAGAGTTTAGTTATATGGAGAAGGAAAGGGGGGGGAGAAATTTGCAGATGATAACTATTAGAACGATATGCAGTTTCAGAGATGGAGAAAGAATATTTTATTGGAAATGACTGGAAAAGGCAGAACAATAAATTTTCCTTTCCTATACTAAAGAAGTATTCGAGTTTACAAAGGTTTAAGAAATGATTCAGCAATAAAAGTTCCTACTCTACACTAATGAAGTATATCAGTTGTACATATGTTTCAGAAATGACTGAGCGATAAAGGATTCTGACCTACATGCACACAGGTTCCTGTCTATGAAGTGTAATAAAGAGTTCCTTTGCATTTCAGATTCTGTGACTATGAGTGAGTAATTGTGAGATGATTGTGTGTATTGTTCATAACCACGGCGTGAGTTACAGAGACTAATAATATAGCGTGAGTAATAATAGCGTGAGTAATTTGCTACAGAGACTATTAGGACTATTTACCTAGCATGGTGGAGAAATGGATTTTTGATCATTTTCTCCAACCAAAGTATGCTCATTCAAGTATTCTTCACTTCCTCTTTGTCCCAAGATTAGGATAAAGTCATCGTTTATGAGTTTACTGTAACTTTGATATGTTAATGTGGTACTTAGGGACTTGTATAAAAAATAAATATTTACATAGTTATAATTATATGTTTATCTGTTTACAATAATATAGTTAAAGAATTTTGAATTGTGTTATGTAAGGGAACTTGGAATAATAATTTTTGGCCATACCTAACTGTCGAAATTGTCATCTGAAAGAAAGATTAAAAACATTGTAATATGCATTTTGATACATGATTATCACATTAAAAAATTTCTATGCAACAGTAGTTATGTACACTAATTAATATCACTTAAAATTTGCACTCCCTGAAAACAGGTAGTTATTAGATATGTAATTGATACATCACATTTTAAATTTTGCTTTTGAAAAATTAAGAACTGAACAATGGATTTGAAATGTTAACACGTAGTTTGGTAGAATTATGTGATCATTGATATTATCCGATTCACTTTTTTAATGCTCTCACCAGTTGTATTATAAAAAAAAGAGTAAGCAGGTAAGTTTTTTTTTTTTTTTTTTTTTTTTTTTTTTTTTTATACACAGTAGTTTTGTCAAGTATAGTGATCATATTTTAAATATGAAGAAATAGAAATGCAGTTTAGTCAATAATGGGAAGAAAACCTTGTGAAGATGCTTCTTTCTTATCAGCCCATGTTTATTATATTTGCCTTAAGTCATTTTATCTGTTTTAAAATTTTTAGTGAATTCCAACCACCTGAACATCTCAGAATCATCCTTATAACCTTTTCTTTGGATTTCTGCAATTTCCAATTTATTTTTTAGGAATCCAGTGGTCATTTGGACTTAATAAATTGACAGAAATTTGTTTTTATTGGACTAGTGCATACAATTATTTTTATAATTAGTTTTATAATCAGTATTTCTTTGAAATAAATTATTCATTTGAATTAAGATAATTTTTTATTTTAGATAGCATATGGTTCAACAGAGAACAGTCCTGTTGTTGCTATGAATGGAATAAATGATGATTTCCAAAATGCTGTTGATGGTGTATTGCAACCACTGGAATTTGTTGAGGTAAAATATTGTGTTCCAAATAATGAATACACCTGTATTTTGTAATTATATACTGAAAGAAATATTGAAACATGTTGAATAACTGCATTTTAAATTTAGAAGAGCTTTAAAAATTAATGACTAAAATACCAAAAATATTTCTTATAGTGTTTATAATAATAAATTATAATACCAATAATTATATTCTCTGTACTTCAAATCATAATGGAAATGAAATCGTTCTTACTTTTTTATTTTATGTATCAATCAGATATTTCATTTTTACTTTTGCGCCTATACTTTAATACCTAAATGCCTAAACATTACAAAGTCCGAAATCTGGACTGGTCGGGACATTGGCGATTCCGGATGATTTGGGATTTTTCTGGATAATAGATCATCAATTTAAATCTGGTAAGATGGCATGCAGAAATTATACAATTAAAAATATGAAAACGTAATTTATGAAATAAAGAACAATTATGATCTAAAGGGTATCAAAATTTACAAAAAAAGCTTAATATTTATTTGTTTATTAAATCTTTCAATGTAAGTTGTTTAAGTAGCTTCCACAAAAAATTCAAAAAGTTCCTTTTTCCTTTTCCGTGTGTCATATACAGTGGACTTTCCAATGCCATACCCTTCGTATAATTTTGAGACACATATGCTTTATCCATTTTTTGCAGCAATTCCACTTTTTGCTTAATGGACATCGAAACATGGTTTCGCTTTGTAGATCTTTTGGTAACTCCAGAATTGGAAACTCTGTTCGACATAATCGAAAGTTCAAGCTTAGTTTGTATAAAATTGCCGTAATAATAACAGTATACAAAAAATAATAAGCTGGATCAAATTAGAAGATCAGGGAGCAGCGCAGTCTACTACATTAATTAAATGCCTTAGAATCAGTAAAGATAATTTTAGCCTAGCTTAATAGCGTATATTATACATTATTTGTTGCGTATCACAAGATTGGCGACGAAAGCCAATTTGTTTCATTAAATTTTATCTTCCTCCTATTGCGTACTGAATTAAGCCTGAATTGTATTAGTTTAGTTATTTACTGTACCTACGTTTATTTTTTGCACATACTTCAAACTAATCCAAGTCCTGAATAAATAAACTTGCATATATACTTAAGGCTTTATCTAGGGTCGGTGCTCGATACCGCCTGGTGCATCTCTACAAGTCCTAAATTCTGCTACAAAGTGCTTTCCTAAGTTCTAAATTTTCACCGTGCCTAAACTTTGGATCCCAGTGCTTTCCCTAAATCATAAAAACTTCTCATCCCTTAATTTTCCCACTCGGTGCTTCCCCAAATTCTAAAAATTTCGTCTTCCCTAAATTCTGCCATGCGGTGCCGACATATTCTGCCACCACTTCTGGGTTTATAGTGAATAACATATCACTTATTCTTAATTAAAATAGCACTAAATGTAATCTTTTGGCCTATGAGTTTCATTAACAAAATCTATTTTTAGCATATGAAAGGAAGTTTTTGTTGAATTTTTCCTCGTCAACATCTCTTAGAGCATTTAAAAATCTATAATCATCACCAAACGTTAGCATAAAAGTTTGCCATACTCTTGTTATTCAATTACTAAAATAAAAAAGTTTAGACATCACTGCATGAGTTATTACTGAAGCTGTCATGTATTGATAAACATGCAGTGATGAAAGCAAAATATAATAAATAATGACTTGCCAGGTCGGCGTCAGGGATATAAAATAGGTGAATGTTTTGGTCTGAGATGCATGCCAAGTAGATACTCAGCTATGGAGCCAAATTATTAATCTCACAAATTTATGCTTACATGATTGTTTTTCCATAACGAGGTATTTTATTTAGTGCCTAAGTGAAATTAAGAATCAGAATTTTTAAGTGAAAATCTCCACGTTTTATCATGGAAGGAAAAATCAAATTTGCATGTGTAAAGTATTAATAAAAAAAATTTTGTGGATTTGAGGTCTGGATTTTAGATCATTTCGGATAATGGACGTCCGGATTTCGGACTTTGTACTGTATTGTTTAATTTTACTTTCATTCTTTTAGTATTCAGATAATAATCTCATTCCTTAAATAATTAATATGTAGTACTTATTTAGTGTTTTATAGATTTAACTTTGCATTTTAATTACAAATCTTTGTTGTATGCTTTTATAATATTAAATTTTGGTCCTATATGTTGTTATTATTTAATAATGTTTTTCAGTTACAGGAAAACATACATAAAATTAGTTTATTCAAGTACTTTCTAGGTTGACAAATCTTATTTATATTGCCTTGTATTTCTGTTGATAAAATGTAACTAACAAAAGTACTTATTTTACTCAAGTATAAATTTTTTAGTAACAAATTTCCTAGTTTAGTTAAATTTTGGACTTAGTAAGTTTTGGATCTAGTTCTAAGGATCTCATAATTATTTTTGGAAAAATTATTCACCCTAGAAAGGTAATCTTGCTGTTATTTTTCAGCAGCAATTTTAGCTTTTTAGGATCGTCACCCTTTAGACAAATACATTTATCACAGCCATCATGTTTAGATTCCTTAGGGATCAGTTTTATGCTTTAGAAAAACATGAATAGATAGAATGACTTGAAATTTTGTCACCATGAAATGCATTCTTTAGTGGTTGTAAAAGCTAAATGTTAGATCAAGTGATTGTGGAGCATGAGAAACCACCACAAACTGCTGTCACTAAAAAAAAAAAAAAAAAAAAAAAAAAAAAAAAAATGCTGAGCAGTGTGATGAGCGGAAACATTGTCTTCCGGCCTGCAGCATTTTTAGGTTTTCTTTTTCACTACTAAAAGATATTTTGTTTTCAGGACTTCTTCATAGGCTGCAGCCATCACTGTGGTGCTCAAGGTTAATCAACAATTCCTCATAATCCTTCATTCCAACTGTTAAATCATGTTGTCCGACCAGCTGATGTGTGGCTAGTTCCTTTGGTTTGCTTAACTTCTGGCCTTATTTTAACTCTCACATGTACAAATCCCCAATTTTTTACTTCCGTAGTCTCATTACTGTGTTCATCATTCAATTAATAATACAAATTTTCTTAGGTTTCATTTACAATCTGACTGATAAATCTTAATTAATGGCTGCATTTTATAAAATAAATCTTGCATTTTGATAGGCCTGCATTCTTGACAAAAAAAAATTAAGGGACCTTAGAGCTTGAATACATGTTATACACTGGTTATCATAAATTAAAGAAAAATCACAAAAGTAGCGATAACTCCCTCAAAAATAAGTCAAACCATGTAAAATTTGAATATGTTGCCAAGTAAGAGAAGCTGAATAAAACTGAAATATGCAAATTAGTGGCGCTGCATTCGGATATGTCATCTGCGAGGAGAATAAGAGTCCATGTTTGAGAGCAAGCCCACATATTTCACTGTGGTAGTGACATCAGAAATCTGAGATAGCCAATTCGTAACAATGACCTCCAGGCATCATTTGCCTGCGGAACTACGATGGAGAGCCATTGGGAGACTAGAGGCAGAAAAAGTCAAACAGAAGTGGCTAGATGGCTAAATGTGAGTCCTTCTGTGGTTCATAGAATTTGGAGGCGATTTCAAACCACAGATTCGGCATCTAGGAGGTTCAGCCAAGTACGGCCAACTGCTACGACGAGCGCCGATGACCGATATTTGACATTATGTGCACGCAGGAATAGAACCGCTACGCCGACTCTTCTTAGATCCTCCCTTGCTGCAGCCACTGGAACGTTGGTGTCAACGTCTACTGTGAGTAGAAGGCTTCAGGAAGGTGGTCTGTATGCAAGGTGACCAGCCATTTGTTTGCCGCTCACGTCACGCCATAGGAGGGACCGTTTTCAGTTGGCATGACAACATGTCTACTGGACGCCTGATCAGTGGCGAGCTGTTCTCTTTACTGATGAGTCTAGGTTTAGTCTAGAAAGCGATAGGCATTATTTGGAGAGAATCTGGAACCCGTTATCATCCGTCAAACATCCGTTAAAGAGATGCATACGGAAGAGGCAGTGTCTGTGTTTGGGGTGGCATCTGTTTGAGTGGACGCACAGACCTCCATGTTCTTCCAAGGGGAACCATGAATGCTCTGGTTTATAGAGATGACATTCTTGATGCTTATGTGCACCCATGTGACGGGGCAATAGGTGATGCTTTCCTGTTATAGGACGACAAATGTAAGAGCACACAGGGTTCGCATCGTATATGATTATCTTCAACAGGAAACAATTATGCGCATGGAGTGGCCAGCTCGATCCCCGGACTTGAATTCCTATTCAATCGCATTTGGGATGCTTTAGGAGAGACGCCTAACTGCTCTCAAATATGTCCCCTTCAGACCCTTGCCGCACTTGCAACTGCTTTGCAAGAGCAATATGGCTCTCGCTTTCCTATGGAACTGAATAGAGCGCACATAAATTGAAAGCATCACACATCGCTGTATTGCTTTTAGAGGCGACCATAATTCCATATTGAAGGTACTTTTCCTATAGCAAACTGAACACGTTTCGATTTGTTCATTTTATACATGTGCTAATTTCTATACTACCATAATGTCTAGTAATTTATTTTTATGTTATTTGATACCTTACTATATGTTGTATATTGTGGGTAAGTTTCATAAAATTCTACATGTAACTTTTTCAGTAATCGTGATTTTTCCTTAATTTATGATAACCAGTGTATTATTTGCAGAATAGATGTATAATCCAATTAGATGCATTTTTAAGAGGAGAAGAAATAAGATTACTGTTTTCATTAATCTTAAAAATTAAGCTTTTACTAGTCATCATTTATTTGGCTTTTTCTTGTGTTTGTGTGTCTGAAATTATATATAAATAATGCCTTGAAAAGCAGGAACATATAAAACAACAACAACAGTAATTAAAAAAATTGTTGTTTTCTGCGTTGTTACTTTTTATGATGAACAGACAATGATTTATGTCTTTTGTTCTTTAAAATTTATTTCTAATTTGTATTGCTATTAATTGCAGTAACAATGAATGAATATTTAATGTGTTTTTCAGTAATTCATTATTTTCTGTCAATTTTCAATTACTGTATTTACTGATGTATTTTCCCCTTAGCATTTTAGCAAAAAGTTCTGAAATTTTTTTAAATTTTTCCATTCCTTGAGGTGTTAAAAAAGCAAGATTCCCTAAATTTTAAAATGGATTCAGCCGTGCATTGATTGTTTTTGTTTTATTAATCGATTTACTCATGGATTTTGGGTGTATGGACTCAAAATTTATGAAGCATAGTAGTGAAAAGCATCAAGAAAACAGATCTTAGAGTCATTGCACTTTTGAAGATAGACTCAATGGTAAGATGATGGTGATGATAGCAATGACTTGGAAGTTGTAGCAGATGACACAGACAGGAGTTTAGCAGCTTTGAATGATTTGAGGCCAGCTGAGTAGCAGTGCACAACAATCAGAACAACCAAGATTCAAGGCACAGGAAAGCAGCTATGAAGATATCTTATTCAATGCAATAATGTTAATATTACTATGCATTCTTATTGGAATGCAGGTTTTTTTAAAGTAAATAATATTATGGTAGTTGCTAATTTTTTTATCCATGTATGCAGTTCATTTGTTATGCTCTTACTGTAATCATGTTAAAAAATGTACCAAGTTCACTTGGAAACTAAACACCGGTGGTCCCTGTGACAAGCTGATCACTTGTCCAGGGCATAGGCTCATACATCCTGGTTCCCACGGTCTAGAAAGCAGATATCAGGGCATTGCCAGCCATGGCTCTCTAAGGGTTGTTTGTGCTTCTGAGAGTTTGAGTACCTGTTGATTGAAAACTAAATTGTTGCTAAAAAATCTGTTAATATTTAGCTGAATAGATAAATTTTCATGCTGCCAGTTTTTACAGTTCAGTAGAAAGCTATTATTCTACATGCATAATATACGGTATGGTAGCATACCTTCACAAAGGTCTGTGTCAAACAGAAATTTCTGCCCACAAAACTTCTATGCTCTGAACTAAAAAGTTGTATGAACTCTACCCCAAGCTCATTCCTCTTGTGATTACTTTATTTTCCCCAAACTGAAACTTCATCTCTTATGAAACACTTTTCCTGACACTGAAAATGACTTAAGAACTCATCTGTGCTCACTAATGTACTGCTTATTAGAGTGTAAATGGGTTGTACATTGAGTAATATTGTGGCAGACAAGAATATGTGCATTTTTTACATTTGCATGCAGTTTCAATGTTTGCTGCACTGTACCCACGCACATTTGTTCGGCTTATCATCATGTATTTAATTTAGTATTTTACCTTTTAATTTTAAATAAAGTTAATTTTATGGTTTTACTAAAGTGTTTGGCTTTCCTTCTGATGAACCTTCTGACAAGTTTGGAGTATTGTGGCGATTAACCATCCCCAGAATATCATCAAGTGTAATTTTCCTGTACTTTTCCATTTAAAAAAATGCATTCTTCTTATTTTAGTTTCACACAGTGGTATTGCATATATATGCTTTTTGACTGTTGTTTAATGTGGAATTCTATAAATGATGCAGAATCAGAAGCAGCCCCAGCTCCAGCATTTTTGGCACCGTATATGATCAATAAAATTCGTGCTGCATAGAAATTAAATATAGTAATAATTCGAATTGATTGTATCTTTATTTAATTCTGCTTTGTAAAAAGAACCATGACTGGCACCCTCCAAAAGTTGTTACCATTGGTGGCTGCTTATGCCACTTACAATTGGAGTTGGTGCTAATCACAAGTTTTCATATGAAGAAAAATACATTACAGAAATGTAAATAGTATATTCTGTTATTTATAAATATAACTTTATGAAATATATACACTTTTACTTGACTGTCTCAACTCTAATTTTTCTCAGAAATATTTATAGAACTATGCAAAATACATGTATTTTAATTTTCAATAATTTGAAAATTATTCAGATTTGACTGCACATTAAAACTCAGATTGCTAAAACGTTATTTAAAATGTTTAAAACTGTAATGTTCAGTAACTGTGGTGTAACCTGAATTTCTTTTCATAGCTTAAAATTATTCATGATAACGGATGTCTAGTGCCAATCAAAAGTGAAGGAGAATTGTGTGTAAGAGGCCATGGATTATTTATGGGTTATTGGGGTGATAAAGAAAAAACAGAAAAAGAGGGAATTCATACTGGTAAGTTATTTTGAAAGATGTTTTGAAGTAACTTGAAAGTAAAATGTTAATAATGTTTTAACGGGGACTGGAATTAAATCATCATGAAGAACAAAATTTCAATTGTAAAAGGAAAAAATTAAATTAAAAACATGTAATCATTGTCATTGATCGGAAAATTAGTTGACTTTTCAAGGGGAACAAACCAACTCCCGTTCAATGAACAATAATTAATAAATGAATACGTAAATACGAAGGTGTTTCGTCTTTACTCGAGTTAATAAGCCAAACCGGCAATTCTAGTCAAGCCAAATATTTCCGCGAATAGAAGGAAATTATGAACCAATGCTGATACTCAAAGAACTTATTCCTTATGAAGCATTTTAGCCAATTCAATTTGAGTGGAGTTAAAAAGCAATTTCTGTAGGAGAATTCCGAAAAAACTCGAGTAAACCGTCCCCCGACACCCTCATGTTTATGCATTTGAGTTCTATATTATTTGTAAAAATTAAACATTGGAAATTGTCATTATGAAATAGAATTCAAAGTATAAAGTTGAAATAAACATAAAAAATTGCAAAATAAGATAAAAAATGCAAACTTTGTAAAAAACAAATCAAAAATAATAAAAATAAAAAAATAATAAGAACAGTGAATGTACATGAAGATATAAAGGCCAGAAAAAGGTATTAAGTAACTTACATTCTTTCTAGGGGGAGTTGGCAAAGTGTTCTCTTCGTGTCTGACTCAGAAGTGTAGGGTGTCCGAAAATTCTTAGCGGCAGCGGGGCTTTGAATAATATCAGTCGGTAAGACTTGGGTGAAGTAATTTATGGTAGTGGGTGGGACTCGGAATTCTTGAGGGATGTATTATGTGGAGTTCTTATTGAGGAGTGAAACTGTCTGTTAAGATTTTTTTGAAAATACTAGTGAATGGAAAAATTAATTAATTTCTGGCTAATTGTCGTGTGTTGCAATGATTAAGAATTTAAGAAAGGAAAAAAGGAATTTTCACTGTCCAAGAGCTATTAGACAGACTAAAGTCATGAAATAGGCCCATTTTTTTAGTAACAGCATAAGTCTGAAGACAATTAGCATTTTACAATATATACAACTGAGTAATTACACTATATAAATATCCTTCAACTGATAGTCATCCAACTTATACCGCCTTCTCAGGTTTAGGAACAAATTATCATATCCCTATCAGTTAAATGATTTAGAGTGAGTATTTAACACCTGCTCTTCTAAGGCAATGGTTAATATATAAACTGTGCCTTTCAATATATGATATATTAAATTAAAAATATATGTTGTAGAAAGTTTAATCATAAAAGAGTAAAAATAATTATTAGTATAGAAATGAGTTAAGCATGCAGAAAATAATATTAAAAAATTAGGATGAATGGTTAGTGGCTTTTAATAGCTTAGTGATCAGAGCACTTATCAGCTACTTAAGAAGTCTTCAGCTTCTGAAAAATTTTGATTCTAAATTGAAGCAAAATCTCAACTGATATAAAAATGTGTCTTACAAATAAGGTATTCAGTGGGAGTCATAGCATTCATTATATATACATATTTATAAAACTTCTACAAAAATGACATTAGTAGATGATTTTGCATTAATATTTCTGAAAAACAATTTTTTATATATTTTTGAAAGATTTTATCTGAACTTTTATTTCCTTTTCAAACTTATTTTGCTATAATTAAAAAAAAAAAAAAAAACATAGTGCATTCAGAATCTGTCAGTGAAGATCATTTGACAGGGGGGAGGGTGAATGGCATTAGTAATTATCGTAATTTTTGTTTTAGTAGTATGTATTAATGTTCCTAAGAAAAGTCTTGGCAAAGGTATCTCTTCTAATGTCAGTAAGTACTGATTGATTTACCATAAGGAATTATGTAATGAATTTATGACAATTCATAACTTTATGTGATTAGATTTCAGCTGTATCTGACTGCTTGTTCTGAACATCTATCCCCCCCCCATAGTAAGGATATTAGCCATTTTGAATAACTAGAAAAATGACTGTGAAAAGTTATTAAAGTTAGTACAGTCAAAAAAATTTTTTTTTCTTGATTAGAGAATAAAATTATAGGACAATCGAGAATTGACACTTAAATTTTTCATACTATCCTAATTTCTCTACTTAATCTACCTTTAACAGTTTGAATATCAAAAAGTTGTTAATTCAGATCAAAATTTTGTGCTTCTAAATTTATTGTGCCTATGTTTTATCTTACTCAGTTTTGGTATCTACGATTTGACTTCAAATATAAATATTACATTTAATGTACTATGTGCTTAATGCTGCAAAATACAAAATTTGTTGAACAACTGGTGCACATTTCCATCATTTCCTTGCATATTTAATTTTTGTTACACATGATAGATAATTTTTATGCACATTATTTCCTGTAAGTTGAATTGGTACCAGACACTTCCAGTATTTATTTTCCATTAGAATGTTAGTGTAATGTCAGCATACAAACATTGCTACTTAATGTTGCCATATAATGAGTACAAAAGAAAATGTAACAGCTTACAGTACCATATATCATTTGAGTGTTATAGTTCAAACTCATAGGTAAAAAACAAGTAAGATTTGAAATATATAAAATCTTTGAATGTAAAAAAACTATACATATATGCACATTTTTAGTATTATTGTCTGGACTTATCAAAATAAATGCATTTACATCAATGGTGTGAAAGAATTTAAATCCCACACATTTTTATTCTATCATATTCATTTCTGAGAAAATTAGCTGGTGTGAAAGATTTTAAATCCCACACATTTTTATTCCATCATATTCATTTCTGAGAAAATTAGCTATTTAACTTTATGCAGTCAATTGTTTTAAATTCTTCTGTAATTTTTTATTAGGGATATTTGCATCATGAATGAATATGGATATGTCAAGATTGTTGGGAGAAAGAAAGACATTGTGATTCGAGGTGGTGAAAATCTGTATCCTCAAGAAATTGAAAATTTTTTACACACACATCCAGCGGTTCTTGAAACTCATGTAAGTACAAAGTAAATTATTGTATTGAATAAAATTTTATGGAATTTTCTGGAATGAAATTTTACTGCTTTAGAATTTTTAAGTTTTTCCCCATCTCAAAAGTGAGCACAAACCAGTTTACTTAAAAAAGTACTTCATGATGGCATCCCTTCCTTTAGGCAAATAATCCTTTTGCCATATTCCAAATAATCCACTGGAATCTATTTATACAAGATATCTTTTACAAAATTAAAGTTTATTTGCATATCATTGTTTGACTTGGTCTTCCTCTTCCAGTAATGCTGTTTGTTATTTGCTACAAATAACAAAGCATAGAAATAATTTTCTTTGATAATCTTAAAATACTGTTAATTTTAACTGTTCATTAAACTGATATGTTAATTGATAATAAAAATATATTGACAAATACTCTGCTGGCCATTAAAACTGCAGCATCATGAAGAAAATAAATATAAAAAATGGTATTTATTGTATGTAAACAGTATGGCATGAAGACAAAATGATTAAATTTGTTAGCAGTTTGGGGTTTACAGGGGTCCAAAATTAGTAGAAACACCTGGCAGCTAAAACAGCCCTTACCCCGTTAGGCATGGAGTCGAACTGGTCTTAGGTGACAGAAACGAGCAACTCATTCCATGCTGCTTCAAGTTTGTGCCACACTTCATCAACCATATTAGCTGGAGAGGGGTGGTGGGCCAGTCTCTCAGCAACCCATGACCAGATGGTTTCAATGGGTCACAGATCTGGAGACCATGCAGGCCAGGGCAGAAATCGAATACCTATCACTGTATCAAAGAAGGTCAGAACACGATGTGCAACATGTGGTCTTGCATTATGTTGTTGGAAGATAGCATTTGGCAGGCCTTGCAGATATGGCATAACCATTGGACATAAGGTGTCGGAAATGTACTGATCTGCGTTCGAATTACCATCAATCTGAACTACAGATGTGCATGTCGTGCACCCAATGGCTGCCTAAGACATCACACCAGGAGCTGGACCTCTATGCTGATATAAAATGCAAGCAAACGACATGTGGTCTCCTCGGTGCCTCTAGACACGTATACGGCCACCAAAATACTGCATGCAGAACCAGGACTTGCCTGAAAAGATAACATTATGCCACTCCTGTATCCATCTTTGTCGTTTGGCATACGAGAGTCACCGTCTCTTTCTATGCTGCATTGTCAAGGGAAGCCGAACTAATAGTCAGCGGACTGATAGCCAGCACTGATGCAAATGGCGATGCACCATACGAGTGGATACTGGGCGTGCTGCAAACCTGCTTATTTCCTGACTAATAGTTTGTGATGTGGTTGTACGGCTTTGCAGTGCTGACCTCACAATATGTCTGCCATCGAGGACTTTAGTCATGATAGGGCATTGAGATCCTGCATGCCATTCAGTAAGATCCTCAGACACCCATTGATTCCATATTCGCATGACAATAGTTTGATGTGGACCAGTGTGACAGGTGATATCCTGAAATGATAATCTACACTCTCGATAGGCAATGATCCTGCATCTACATCTATCGAATTCCGACAGTTGCTAGTAATCCTTTCTTATTATTATTCGAGGCAAAACATCATATTCTGAGCAAACTCTGACCTTATAAAGCACTTTCCAAATAAGAAATCTACTACACAACTTTTTTTTATGCAGTGCTTCAGATGTCGTTTCTTCCTCCTGAATCATCTAAATGCACTGAAATACTAATCATTTGCATATCGCAACCTCTTGTTTCATGTGATTTTGACATTTACCAGATCATTCCTTCCTGGTATAGCAATTTTAATCACCAGCAGTGTAGAATAATATGCTAAGTCAATAAATGCAATTGCTAACCTCTCCTTCTATGAAATACTTTTTAGATTGTTGGGGTACCTGATAGCAGAATGGGAGAAGAGCTGTGTGCTTGGATTTCTGTTAAAAATGGCATGAATATCACTGAAGAGGACATTAAAAATTTTTGCAAAGGAAAGGTAAAAATAAAATGTATTATTCTAAACTAATATTATTTGCTATTAAATTGACAGAAATGTGTAGCAAATGTTTCTATTGAAATCATGGCTACATATTTTAGTTTGTTTGTTAACTAAATTAGCTGTAATAAACTTTAGTTTGTTGATTGCTTAAATCAACACTAGTAAGTTCGAACTTGTCGATAGTTTAAATCAACACTGATAAGTTTTAGCTTATTAATAGTTTCAATCAACAATAAGAAATGTTTTTTTGAACATTTTTTTTTTTTTTTTTTTAATTTTATTTATTTATTTTTTTTTTTTTATTTAAAGTGAAACCGCAATTCATTAATGTGGTTCAGTCCTGAAGGCCGATTATCACCGAAAATGTTTATAAACTGAAACTGTTTTACTGTTTTCCCCTTAGGAATTAATGTAAAGGTATTAATTCAATTATAGCTAATTGATTATTCAAGCTTTGAAACAGCACTTTATGCATTAAAGTGCTGTTTCAAAGTTCATAATGCAGAAACAATAAAAGTCCTTAAATCTAGGACAATGAAAATGAATACATTTTTATAAAAATGAACTGATGAAAAGTTTTATTTTATTTGTATGAAGGAGAGTGGATGACTTGCATAGAAAATGATGAGGAAAATGGAAGGAAAGAGATGTAAATGAGAAGTACCCTTCCCAGGTGTTAATATTTAAAATTAGAAGTGCCAGAGTCCTACGGAAGACAATCAGCACAGCAAAACAAAAATGAATAAATAACATAACTAATAAAATAGTCAAATAACAAATTTTGAAAAAGATAAAATCTGAAAAATCCGAGAGGTTTCAGGTTTTAATGACGGCCCAAGAAGACTTATTTGAAGTCTAATATGCTTTAACAGTAATTTATAGGATATTAGATGAATATGCATTTAGACACTAACATAGGAACATTATCTATCTTGCATAAATTTAAAAAGTGAAAAAATATGTAATGTAATTCTGTAAAAATATTTAATGTTTTTCATTAGATAGATATATCATGAATTAAATGCATTTTAATTTAAATGAATCAGATTAAAATGCAAAAATAACATTCTTAGGGACTGCATCTATTGCATTTAAATAGTTTAGTATGTTAATTAATAGCAGACAGATTAAATATGAAAAAATAATATCTTACGTTTTTCTGAATGGCAATGGGCTGGAATGAAAAGTGAATTGATACATTAAAATGAAACAATGCAAAATCATGTTACAATACTAATACTCATTTTGAGTTACTTATTAATAATTCAAGTAACAAAATAATTAGTAAATAAAATAATTAAAATAATTGGTCGGTTAAAATTAAAATTCAGTAAAATGCAAAGAGATAAATAAAAATTCAATGAATTAATGGTAAATTGTTAATAATAAAATAAATTACTGGATCTTGTCTTATTTTTGGCTCCACGCTCTGGCTGAATTTAAGTCCTAAATATGCAGTATAATATATTACTTCAAGAGATAATAGCAGTAAATATCATTCTTTTTTTTTCAGCACTGCCGATGAAAATACTTAAAGCTTCATTAATGAGAATAGAGAGAGTGATATAAACAGTAACAGAGTATGTAGGAAATTTTAACAGAGGATATGTAAATATGGAAACAAAGGGAGAAGAGTCCAGCACTTTCTGATCACAGTCTTCTGCTAGTATAATTTTAATTGTCAAGCAGAATGTGATAGGGGTAAAAATTTCCCTGAATGAGTTTAACTGAGAGTAAAATAACAAGTGACAATTCTGTGCTCAATATTTGGCTGTATCATTCCAAAAAGTCTGTAGGTGCTCTTTTCCAATGGAAAACGCTAACATGAAAAATTTTTCATGCTATCGTCAATTCATTGCACTTCCTGGAGATTAAGCCTTTGTGTGGAGGCCTTTTTTTTTCCCTTTAATAATCTTAATCTCCATACAAGAAATTGTTTTCTAGGGAAAGAGGAGCCATGCATTCAGAAGTTAGAACCAGTTTTTTATTTTGTTATTGAAATAAAATTTTCTAGATCAATAGAATTTCCTGCTGAAACTGTGATTCAGTTACATAAAAGAAATAGCAGAACTCTCTTATTTAGGGCTGTAGTGCTCTCCAGCTAGAATTACAATTTATTTTTTTAAATTAAGAAGTAACAGAGCTTATGTACATTGGATTCTTAGGCAATTTAAGCTCTGACACTTCCAGAAAAATATTAGGTAACTGTCCTTCTGGACACTGTCTTTTATCTTTCCTTTGTTTCTTATTCTCAAGTGTCAACTCTACTTGTAACTTATTGGACCTCTACTTCACTCAAAATTTCTGTAATTTAATTTTTACTTCCTTGTACGAGGTAAAAAGGAAGTATTGTAATCGCAAAAAGTTTCAGACAGCATATTTCAACGAAGATATCCATTTTGACCACTATAGAATGCAATTTAACAATGTTTTTGCATGACATCTGCACGTAAGGATAGAATAAAAGACTCTTTTCCTCCAAAACAAATATAAAATTGCTTTAAAATGAATTCTGAAGAGAATTTTCCGTGGCGTTTGTACGTGCGAATCTCGCATAACTCAAAAACGAGTAGCCTCAGAACGTTGGAAATTTGTATATAGAAGTGCACCTCATATTTTGGTTACAATGAGCAGCACCAAACGTATATAAATATATTTATATATGAATCCATTCTGTTACCTGGCTCAGTGATCTCGGTTTCTTTACTCTTATATGTTTGTAAACTGTGCACTTTTTGCTTTAAAAATCATTGAATTATGTTGTTCTTATCTTCCGGCTAAGGTTTTTATGCCTTTAGTAAATATGCAAGCAATATTTTTAGAATTATCAACATTTTAAAAGTTTTTTAAGTGCGGCTAAGCCTTTATTTTTGCAAAGGCGGACATGTTTATTTACATTTGAAACTTGGCAAAATAACGAATTTGTTGCCAATCTAGGGAAACTAAGCTTCGCAACACAAAGATAACGCCTTCTTTTATTATTGATAATTAAATAATGCTTAATCCATTCTGGAATTTATTCGAGGAAATAAGTGTTTAAGATTTACTTCGTAATTTTTAATATAGATATTTTGAGTTTTTATGAAATTTGCCTTGTCGCGAAGTGAAAACAGAACTACTCGAATGAGAAATACTGAATCGTCTGTGAAAAAATGTTTCTTTTTTGTTGTATTTGCTTAATTTCTTTTATACATCCTTCAAGATTTATTATAGTATTTGAATAGAACATGTGGCAACGATTAGATAATTCTTCAAATGATATCAATTTTGTGCATTCTGAGATATGAACGAAATATAACACTGTTAAGTGAACCTAGCTCCAGAGTGTCGCTATGGTAAACAAATATAGTGAATTTTAAAGAATGCGTTTTTTCTATTGTGGTTTATGTGCTGTGGACAAAGTAGATTTAATTCAATCCAATAAAGTTTAAATAAAATGCAAGAAAAAATGCGTATAATTTAATATTCCGTACAAGGAAGTCATGTAGTCTACACATCAGATTTTTTATATTATCGCTTATATTTGAAAATTTTTCTAAAATATGACATTGTATTGTCAGTGAAAACACTTCTGATGTATTTTGCTATTGCTTTATCAGAGTGATATTATTACATGAAAACTTTACATCTTATCCCATTTCTCACAAATTTCATGAATCAAAGAACTCGCATCATCTTTATTTCCTTTCTCTTCCTCTGAAGATATTTCCTGCAGTCACCTTTTTTTCCTGCTTCTGAAATTGTCACAATTCTTTCTTGTTGAGCTCATTTTTATAGTCCTCTAGTAACTCCTTCATGTCTTCACTTCCAAGCCGATTTTTTTTTTTTTTTTCCCTTATAAACACAATATAGTTTTCCTATAATAGATTACAAATATATCCTGAATTCAAAGCCAGAGTGTTTGCCAGAGCAAAGCCAGAGCCCGACCCATTAAGCAAAATAAGCATGTGCTTAGGGCATTACTTAAAGAGGGCACTACAGTAAAGTCATTAAGAACTCAAGAAAAGTGGGCACCATAATATATTTCCATTGTTGGTTTTACTATGGAATGGTGCATCTAAACCAAGATAGAGAAATAAGAAATGGGAAAAAGCAGGAATAAATGTTTGGGGAGGCACCAAAATTTTTTAAATGCAGAGGCATAAAAACAATTAAGTAGAAAATTCCAATAAAGCTGGAGACGCATACATTTAATATAATACCTACAGGTATCATTGTACCTGCCAATAGTTTTACATGTGCCCATTGCTGTGCAAGCAGGATAAAAGTTCTTTAAGTTTTCAATAAAATATTATGTAATTAATTAAATTGAAGAAATATAAACATGTTTGTTAAAAAAATTATTTGTTCATAATTATTATGTATCTATAATTTTAAATGGACTTTCCAGACATTGTGGTTTGACCAAGATTATCACAGTTTGAAGTCATGATGCCAGTACCCAGGACTATTTCTCATTTTATCCCAGATATTTGTTGAAATTTAAAAAATGTCAAACCTACATTCATTAAAAATATTTTTAATATCTCCCATACTACTGTACTGTATGGCCATTTTTCATATTTGGCTCCATACACCGCATGTAATTATTTATTCTGCATTATGGTACCATCTACAAAGGGAAATTCCCCTTTAATAGGTATTTCTGTATATACCTTATTATATTTATTACTAGTTATATGCTCATATATTAAATGTATGCGTCTCTAATTTTATTGGAGTTTTATACTTCATTGTTTTTATGTACTTTGTTATTTTAATTCCAGCATGAGTGATTCAAGTAAGAGACACAGAACCTATAATTTTAATACTGGCAGGAAAGAATCATATTGTTTTGTCAATTTCAAAGATAAACATATTTTCGTAGGGGAGTTGAACTCAAGTGCTCAAAAAACATAAAGCCGAACGTCACTTTCGGACAATTCATGCCACTTACAATATGACCTTATCTCTTAAATCTGATGTAGGAAAGAAGAAAATAAATCAATTAAAATCAA